ACTAAGGAAAAGCAGTTCTTAAACTTACTGTGTTTCCCACAGGGTCTTATTTTCTTTTTACCCACAAAATATGGCTTGGGTCTTATTATGAGGGGAGGGTTTATTGTTTTGGGGTTGCCGGGTGACTGCTCTCTTCTGAGCGGGCTCCGAAAGAGCTGGGCACAGCCTCAGGGGAAAATGGCTGTGGTGTGCTGTCGCAGCAGCGCAACACAACAGCCATGAAGTGACCACACTCAAGAGCAGCCACCCGGCAAACCCCCTTTCCAGCCAGGCACAGCGCCATTCACTGACCTAGGGGTATTGATTCTTTTTTTGTGTTTCTGTTTAATAATAAAAAAAAAAGAGGATAAGTGCCGAAGAATTGAGCCTTTGAACTATGGTGCTGGAGAAGACTCCTGTGAGTCTCTTGGATTGCAAGACGATTAAACTGGTCAGTTCTAGAGGAGATCAACCCTGACTGCTCTTTAGAAGGCCAGATCCTGAAGATGAAACTCAAATACTTTGGCCACCTAATGAGAAGGAAGGAGTCACTGGAGAAGAACCTAATGCTGGGAAAGATTGACAGTAAAAGAACAAGGGGACGACAGAGAATGAGGTGGCTGGATGGAGTCATCAAAGCAGTAGGCGTGAGCTTACATAGACTCCAGAGGATGGTAGGGGACAGGAAGGCCTGGAGAAATGTTGTCCATGGGGTCATGGGTTGGACACGACTTTGCAACTAACAACAACAAAAGCTTAGGACTTTTGAGACTTGAGAGATATACCCTATTCAGCTGTGTTTTATTAGTATCCCTACTGGACTTATTCTTACCTCTATAAACAACTTCTTTACTAAAGAAAGAAAGAGCAAGTCAGAGAGATACTGATTTCTGAAACCTGAGTGGAACTTCAAATCCTTACAAAAATTAGCTTCTATTTTTTCAATATCATTTTATAGATTTACATTACGAAAGATTAAGAAAGAACACAATACCTGGCAGGAGCTGTTGGATAAATGACTTTTATATGTTGGAAAGACAAATCTTGCTTCAAAACCTGCTTGATCCAGTCTCTTATCCCTTGACCGGTATCACCTGAATAACACAAACAGATAGAACTGAATTAGACATCTATACAACGGAGCAATGTGAACTGTCTTATGAACCTCAGTATTCATCTTGTACATACAACTTTCTCTTTTCAAACTGAATTTTAGAAAAGATACAGCTGGTTGCTTATAGAAACCAAATCTAATGGGCAACTGGTTGTCAAACATCAACATTAAATAAAAAGGTAGTCCTTGATTTACAACGTAATGGAACTTGCCCATTATGGATGTTGTCATGAGATAAGTCAAGGCCTGTACCCATCTCCACTAAGGAGGTCTCTGCCCTACTCAGTGCAAGAATCCAACTTTATATTGGATTACATAGTCCTTGTCAGCTCTCGTCTCTGCTTGAATGCATCCAATGAAGGAGCATGTTACCTCTCTGATAGCTGGTTGATTCCCCAACTAAACTGCTGTTATTGTTTAGAATTTCCCTCTTAACATTTAACTGGAATTTTCTTTCTGTAACTTAGGATCATAATTCCACAACTTATACTCTGAAATGATAGAAAGCAGATCTTGGCCTTTTACTATGGGAGAGATAATTGAAGATTGCATTTATATTTTGGTATAATATATTTCAATAAAATATGTGATACACAGAACTAGACCAATTAGGGTTTGACATCATGAACTACAACTTCTTATAATGTGGACCCTCTGCTTTGGTTGACACAGTCCTATATCAGTGAAACCCTAAAACTGCACCATTTTAAAAAAGAAAATGCCAATTATTAAACTGCTTATTTTAATTATGTAGGTCTGGCTGTCTTAAAGGAAAAGGTAATGGTTGATATTACTTTTTACTGTAAAAGGGAAAACCTGAAAATTTCAATACTTGAATAGGAAATACAGATTTTTAAAAAGCTATCCAAATTATTGTGGATGAAGGAGGAACAATTCCATATTGTTATTAGTGAATACTCGGTCACTTTCCAATAGAGGTTTCTAGCATATGTCAATCATATGGCAATGAAGTGGGTATTTTGAACATAGCATAAACAAGACAATTAGAGAGTTAGCTATGGGGAAACTGCCAACAGCCTCCTTGATTATGGTGAGCATAATTTAAATCAATCATTTTTTTTCAAAACAAGAAGCATTGCTATTTCTATAGCTTAACACTTGTGTTTCTTATTTTCAGCTACTCTGTATGTGGAGAACGCTTAACGTGGAAATATGTTTAATGTGAATTACTGGATGTTTAGCCTGGAGCAGGCACTGTTACAGGTAGTCCTCAACCTATGACTCCAACTGAATTTCTGTTGCTAAGCAACAGTCACACCCCATTTTTGCCATCGTTAAGCAAATCACTGTCAAGCGAATCTGGCTTCTCCCAGTCTTTGCTGGTTGGAAATTGGCTGGGAAGATTGCAAATGGTGATCACATGACCCCAAGACAGGGCAACTGTCATAAATACATTTCAGTTGCCATGCACCCAAATTTTGATTGTGCGATGCTACAGTTGTTAAATGTGAAAACCAGTGCTAAGCCATTTTTTAAGGGGCCAGTGTTACTTCAGTCACTAAACAAGTGATTGTAAGTCAAAGACTACTTGCATCTCCATGATTGTTACAATTTGTAAAAGGAAAGGCACAAATATAAGGGCATCAGTACAGCTGCCTATGCAAACAATAGGGGCAACATATGCATGGTCTTTTTCCATACATTAATCTATTTGATACAGAAATGTACTGGGAACACGAAAGGTACTGTATGAACGGGACCAGACATAAAAACACTCCAGAACACACAAGACCCCTGTACTACGTTGCACATGTCTGGAGAGAGCTTCCACTGCCCTCAGAATCAGAATAGAGCCTTCTAGTCCAGCCCCCTGTCCAAGCAGAAGGTCCTATACTTTTTCAGACTAGTGACTGTGCAGTGTCTTCTTAAAAACCTGCAGTGATGAAGCACCCACAACTTCTGAAGACAAGCTGTTCCACTGGTTAATTGTCCCCACTGTTAGGAAGTTTCTCCTTAATTCCAGGTTGCTTCTATCCCTGATTAGTTTCCAACCATTATTTCTTGTCCTGCCTTCTAATGCTTTGGAAAATAAAATGATCCCCTCCTTTTTGTGGCACTCCGTCAAATACTGAAATACTGCTATCATGCCCCCCCCCTCCTTCTTTTCTCTAGAGCAGTGGTTCCCAAACTTGGCAACTTTAAGACTTGTGGCTGGAGAATTCTGGGAGTTGAAGTCCACAAGTCTTAAAGTTGCCAAGTTTGGGAACCACTGCTCTAGACTAACCAAACCCAAATCCAGCAACCATTCTTCATACATCGGCAATAACTTGAGGTTAGATTTGCAACTGCCCTGGATTTGACAATGAACAACTGTGATTGTATTCATTTAGAATTATGCCATTCCGAACAATTAAGGCATCATTACGAGGAATGGTGGAAATACGAGGCAGATTTTTAAGAAAGGAAGAAAAATAGGGCAATAATCATCCTCCCAGGGCAGCCTTTCCCTTCCCAAGTACCTCTCTGGGAGGGTTCACACATTTCGGGTTTAGTAAACAAACCACGAGGGCTTGCCCCATTCCACACGCAAGTCCTGTATGCCAAAACGAGGCGAACCGCGTCATGGGCTTAATGCACGCGTGACCTCTTTCGGCGAAAAGGCCCCACGGGCTAGCCCAGAGATTGTCGCCCCCAGCAGACCATCTTGGGATCGGGAGCCTCCACCTGAGCCATGGAGAAAGATCACAGAAGCCGTGTGTCTCCCCGCCGGGCTCACCACTACCAGGCTCTTCTGCAACGCCGCCTGAACAGCCATAGCGCCTATTTCCTTCCCCCGGCAGAAGGAGGGGTGAGGGTGGGGAAGCAAACAGGCTGCCGCTTACGGCGCAGCCGCGCGTGAGAGGCGCACGGAGCTTCTGGGAGCAAAGCTCCGCCTCCCATCAATTCAGCGAAAGTGGCTCGGTTGCGTGGAGAGGAGGGTTGCGGGTGTCTGTTGCTCGCTTGGATGAGAGGAGGAGGAGGAAGGGGAATTGATGCTCCAGGCAATGCCGTGTTAAACCGATTTTAAGTCTTTGAAACCTATTTAAAAGGTTCAAAGTTGGCACTGAAAATTTAGCTAAATAATACCATTTGGCATTTTCGGGGGGAAACGCCAAGAGAGAAGAGCGCGAAGTCTTTTAAAGAAAATAACGCTGTATTTTGGAGAGAGTGTTTATACTTGTATATCTTATCGAATACATGCTTGACGAAATAATAAAAAATAAAAATGACATTCGCCTGCTTCGGCATCTTTACCTGTGTTTTCCCGCACTCAGTTTTTCCGAGAACCCACTGTCTGATAATCGGCACAGTTCTAAACATTCATTATCTCTAATCCAAAATAAAGGTTGCTTTATCAGCCACGTTTACTACTTGGAGAGATTTGCGTTGCATTCACAGGAATCCTATCCTGAGATTTTGTAGAATTGTGCAACAATCCAGCGTTGCAAGGGCTGGGGGAAAAAAAACTGGGAAGATAGGAATTGGTGATAGAAGCCGGTGTTAAGTTATTTTAGAGTAATGTTAATAGGACTTGAATTTATACAGATTTATACAGATCCCATAGAAATAGGAACTTGGTGATTATGTATGGGTCTACAGTATTTCTTCCTTTTGTGCCCAGAATGCAGATTTTTACATATTTCTCCCAACACTTGCACCCAACTCCTGTACAGGTGTGCCCAAGCTGTGGCTTTTCTTCTATGTGGCTGTGATGTTTCATCTGCTCCCTAGTCAGCCCTTACTTAAGCCATCTTTTGCTGCAACTGTTAAAACGATGTTTCCCTCTCCTCTTGACACAGCTACTGCCTTGATTGCAATCAGATACACTCCACACCCTACCATCCCAAGGGTGTGTGGAATCAGCAAAATTGGGTTTGTCAAGGAGTCTGCTCTTATTTCAGGGATTGGTTGTCTAGCTGACTGGGGAATTCTGGGAACTGAAGTACACAGATCTTAAAATTGTCAAGGTTGGACACTCCTGTTTTATGCCTGCCAAGATAGCTTGCTGCTGTCAGAAGGGAGGATGGTGTCCCATGGCCAGCACTGAAACAAGACTCAATATTCCTTCTGGTCCAAGGTATATGTAGATTGTCCTATCATGCAGCAACATGTCTTGGCTGTTTTCACAATTGCCTAGTCCTGTCAATAATCCTTCCTTCTTTCTCAAATCTTCCTTGGCAACTCAGATCTCCTTAGGAAGGCCTGGTGCTCATTTTGAGTATTGCTACAATTTGTAGGAGGCATTTTAATCTCCCGCATATGTGGATAAATTCAGTAAACACAGTGAAGTAAACAATTATCCACTCCTTCCCTCCCAAATTACATTTTATATTGCTAGGGTCTCATATTTATAGCTTCTATGTTTTGCCTAATAAAGATAATAAGTGGTGTATTTTTCTCTCCAGTTTATATTCTGCCATAATAGTAGCTTCCCATCTCACCCCTGCCCCCTGCCTCATTTTTCATCACTTATTAGTTCAGCTTTCCAGCTGTTCAGCATCACTACTGGGTGTAAAGGCATAATTCTGATGAGTTTACTTTGGTCCAGATTTATGGCATGTCACATAGGTAAACAAGTGTCTTATTCACATTTCCATTACAATATACTTTTTTTGCATGACAACATCTGTCCACACAGCACTAACAGTCACTGAAAATGGATCATTTTTGCCGGGCTAAAATGATGTTTGGGGTGGTGTGCTTATAATTGGAACAAACTGACTGTCAACAAGAGGAAAATCAAACATGTTGGCTGAAGCATCAAATTCCTTGTTAGCATCAGGCGTGACATCTCTTTGTTAGAAAAAAGACTGCATCATTTTATTTAAAAGTGAAATAGGCTGCAGTTAAAAGCTTCTAGAACCATCTGTGAGAGAACACATTATGCCATACATTATGGTTAACCTTATTTGCAGTCATTATACTTCTGTGAAATAGGTCATGTTGTAAGATAATAGGTGACCCAAGCCAAATTTGATTCCTAGAGTCCTAGACAATATTGTATTTCTACCATGTCTTGACATTGGCATATATGAGAATGCACGTGCAACCACAATGCACTTTGAGGTGGCTTGGTCTAGGACATCCATTAGCAACATCAATTATATCCTTAGTTTATTGAAGTATTTTCTTCTGTATGTATTAATCACTTACAATCCAATTATACCTCTCCACATAACCCAAAGCGAACCACATCCTCAGTTCAGCAGCTGCTTTCCTAGAGAAATCACAAACAACAGTTTCAGAAATTCTGAGACAAACGCTCTGATATTTTCTGTTATTACCAAATATGCGGCTGATGGTATGCATGATCAATTGATGTGTCAGTGCAACAAGGTTTGGCTATCTCTCTTCCCTCTGTCCACATATATGTCCTGAATGAAAAGAAGTGGCTATCTGAATGGAGTCTAATATTGTTCTGCAATATATCTGGTGGTTGGGGAAGATTGCCTCTCTTGCTGCAGTCCTTTTAAAAAAAGATGATCTCCTTGGCAGATTTAGAACTCTGAACTATCATGCAGTGATGTTGCTGAAGGAGAGCTGGGTCAGGGCCACTTCAGATTTGGTTTGTGTGATTTCCTATGAGTCACAGTACTTGGGAATGGGAATATAAACAAAAATCCATAGCCTAGAAAAATAATAGAATACATTTTAAATGGCTTCTCTGGAGACTTCTCACATTCCATCCCCTTTGTTCCAAGAACCAATTTAACATTCATTCTCTTATGAGAAAATCTGGCTTTGAAAGGTTTCTCACATTTTTATTGATATAATGGACCCAGGAAAATTCCTCAGGAGCTTTCCTCCCTTTTTTTAAATAAATGCAGATAGATGATTTCTATTAATTTTGGTTAGCAACACCCTGGAATAACTTTCATAAAGATAAGCCTTTCTTTAACACCACTTAAATTTGGTTGTGGGAAAATAATTTCAGTTGACCTTTGTAGAGGTTATCTGGTAACTTGTTTATTAACAAGTAATTTCAATAGTTCAGATTTTTCTCAATAGAAAGTAAGGCAACAATGCCTTCAAAGAACTTTAAACTCATGAATGGATTTCATTATCTCCTGTGCCCATCCTAAACACTGCATGTATCACTTTGATTCCACTTAAGTGGTTTCCTCTTAGTCCTAGTGTTAGATCGATTAAAGGAAAGGCACACTCAAGCTTAGGCAGAAACAGCTCTTTATTAATCCTGAAACAACTATGCACAATCCAGCGAAGGTTCAGTCTGACAGCAGCCCTTTTATAGGGAGCTGTCAGAACCTTCGATCAATCAGGTTGAATCTCTGTTCCCGCTGGAATCTTGGTGTAAACCATTGTAACTGATTCTGGTATCTAACACCCCTCCTTTCTTAGCTGGGATCAACTGACTTGTGATATAGTCACACAGGTAGGCGAGCTTTCTGGTAGCTCGCCTAGACCTGCGCAGTTCAGTTGGTGAGTGTTCTTCAGTCAGGTTGGATGGATCTGTCTCCGCGGCTTCGCCTGGTGAAAGCTCCTGGAATTTCTCACAGGCCGTGGCTGGAGTTTCTGGAGCAGGTTCGCTAAGAACTCACTGCGGGCCTGCAACAATTTCAGATAAGTGCCCCGGTACCTTCGGGATTGAGTTATCTGTGGAAGGAGTGAATTCATGCTCTTTTTGGGTAGGGCTTTGGCTAACTCATGCAGGAGTTATCTCTGGTTGCCTAAGATTGGAGTTGGAGAGGCAGCCATGGAATTGGTCAATGTGCCGTCTCCAATTCCGACCATCCTCGAGCTCTACTAGGTAAGAGCGAGGTCCGGTGATGCCTAATACTGTGGCAGGAATCCACAGAGCTCCCCCAGCGTAGTTGTGGGCATAAACTGAATCCCCTATGCTAAAATTCCTTATTTTGCTTGTCAAATCTGGGGGCGATGCAGCAGAGTAATTTGAGTGTAGCCAGTCTAAGTGGGAACCTTAGCCAGTGACCCATTAGAAGCTCGGAAGGGCTTCTCCCAGTGGTAGCACTTGACGTGAAGTGCTGTATGAGGAGGAATTGATCAACCCGTGTTTGCCAATAACCCGGGTCCATCCTGGATAGGGCCTCTTTTGCAGATCTCACCATTCTCTCTGCCTGACCATTGGAGGCCAGATGGAATGGAGCGACTGGGGTATGTCTGATTCCCTGTGCTGCTAAGTAGGTCTCGAACTCCATGGCCATAAATTGGGGCCCGTTGTCAGAGACCAAGACATCGGGCAGGCCGTGAGTAAAGAAAAGTCTCTGCAGTGCCTTGATGCCTGCTTCTGCCGTGGTAGAGGTCATGAACACTACTTCATGGAGTAGGCTCCCATGAAAGTCTGGCCATGAACTGGGCCAGCGAAATCTATGTGCACCCTAAACCATGGTGCTTGAGGTTGCTCCCACTCCTTAGCGGGTGCCTCTGGGGAAGCAGGTGTGGACTCCTGGCACTGTGTACAGGTAGCCACCCATTCTTCTATCTCCCTTATGTTATGTTAGGCAACCACACATAACTCCTAGCCAAAGACTTCATCCTGACAATTCCAGGATGCCCTATGTGCAAAGCCTCTAATACTGCAATGCGCAGTTTGGGTGGAACAACAACCCGGTCCCCCCACAGTAAATAACCATTTATTACAGAGAGTTCATCATGCTTGCAGTTAAACATTTTAAA